TGTGAGCGGAAGCCTGGTCTGCCTGTGTTTAAGTGTCAGCTCAGTCATGTTGTTGGTATGTGATCTCAGGAAATTTGTTGTGCTCCAAGCCTCAATTTCCTCATCCATAAAATTATATCATCGTGAAGCAATACACTGACAGCATCTTTTATTGTGTCATTATAATGACAAGGCTGCCCCCATAGTTTGGTAAATTAAGGCAATTATCCTTGTTCTATTTTTAGTGTCGAGGATTCAGGTGAGAAGGGGCCAGTGGCCTGTTGAGACTCAAACTGAATATTCACCAGCACTATTTACCAACAATGAAACCAAGCTAAAATGGAACCTTAAGAGAAACTAATTTGAAAAGTTATAAAAGCTATACTCTTCAGTGGAAGTGTGAATCTTGAGGATAAAGACAAGGCCTTCATTCACTTATTTAACAAATAGTTATAGAATATCTAATATGTGCCAGGCACTGCATTAGGTATGTGTACATAGGGTAGATTCATGTGGTCCCTGCATTAGATAATATACACTCTAATGGGTGAGACAGGCAATAAAAAGCAAATACTATATATTAACAAAAGTATCTCAATTGGGAAAGGTGCAACTAAGAATATAAAGCTAGTAGTGAGGCAGAGAATATTAAAATGGGTGCTTACTTTAGACAGAATGGTTGAGAAGGTCTCTAGGAGGAGGTGATTTTCAAGCTTAGAAGGAAGACAAGGAGACAGCCATGTGAACAGCCAAGGAAAGAAACATGGGAACAGCCAATGCAAAGGCCCTGAGGTATGTGGAACTTTTTGTGAATTGAAGCTCTGGACTTCTTTCACAAACACACTGACTGGATGCCTCCCCTTCCATGCTTCCAGCTGCTTTTCTGACGCAGTGTTACAGTATGTGTGAGGCTTGCATTTGGGTCCTGGATGGCTGTGCCCTCTTATATATATCAACTTAAAAGCATGCTGGGATGGCCCTCTTTTCCACACATCTTCCCAGCCTGTATCTTAGTCAATGTGACTTTCCCATTCAATCAAGACCGCCCTTGACATTTATATCATTTTGCTCTGTTTGCCTACATTTTTTGCTCAGGTCTTGAGAGATTAGCTGCCAACACAAGGTAGACACTCAAAATATATTTGTTGAATTTTGGGATGAATTTCTAAAAGATCATCAAAGATCTTATTTTTTGTGTTTATGGTTTTAGCTGCTTATTTATTTTAACATGGGCAGGCTTGGGGGAGAGCAAACGGAATGAAATTTGAAGGAGAATTGTATGGCATTCTGGAATGTCACTCAGTGACTGGAAGGCTACTTCTGGCTGTGTAACTCATTAGTGACATGACCTTGGACAAGACATCCCACTTGAGCCTTGACATCTTCAACTAAAATGAAAGGTTTGGTCCAAGTACCCTGCAATGTCTGTTCTTTGCTGTGACTCATTGGGTTTCAATATTTGCCACTCCTTCCACACTCCCATGAAAGAACTGTTGTCTTTAGGCATCAACTTACTTTATGTGAGAATGTTACCTTACATTTGGTAGGACTTCGTCATTTTCAGAGCCCTCTTCTCCACTATCTCATTTGATTTTAACCAGCCACATAAAGTATTGAAGATAATAATTATTTTATATCTCACAAAATGTTAAACTTGCCTAAGGCCATAGTGCAGTACAAAAGGGAATGACACTTGTATATCCTGACTATGTGTGGCACACTTAATTGGATAGAATCTCTTCAATCTAGAAGTGGACAAAATTTTGTAACCACTTGAGTAGTGGTAACTACTTTTTTTTTTTTTTTTAATATTATGGACTGTTTTTGAAATGCTGAAATCCAAAGCATCTTCCCCCCCCCCCCCCCCCCCCCCCAGTTAAACACTTGACTAGAAATTGTGAGGATCAGAAAAATACTCAAGTTAAGTCAGAAAAGGGCAGCACAGCAGGAATCAATATGGACAGGAGGCAAGGTGGTCTTCTTAATAATTGAAAAAGTATCCCAAGGTTGCAGGATATACCAAGGTTGCAGGTTCAATCCTTGGTCAGGGCATACATAAGAAGCAACCAATGAATGCATAATAAGTGGAACAACAAAATGATGTTTGCTTTTCTCCCTTTCTCTCTCCCTAAAAAAGTTAATAACTAATAAAAAAAAAATTTTTAAAGGAAAAAGTATCCCTAAGCATTTCTTCCTAGGACTGAATTGTCCTGGGAACTTCCAAAACCATTCTGTTTTATCTGAAGAGCAGTGTCCTCTGCTTACTCTTGGTTCTTGTTTCCGCATAACCATGGGTCTCACCTGGATTGGCTTCCTGGCACTAGCTCTGGCCAGCTGACCCCAACATGTCAGATCCATCATTTGCCATAGACTCTTATTTATTTGTATTTTTAAAAATATATTTTTATTGATTTCAGAGAGGAAGGGAGAGGGAGAGACAGAAACAACAATGATGAGGATCATTGATCTGCTGCCTCCAGCACGCCCCACACTGGGGACAGAGCCTGCAACCCGGGCATGTTCCCTGGCCTGGAATCCAACTGTGACCTCCTGGTTCATAGGTCAATGCTCAACTATTGAGCCACACCAGCCGGGCAAGACTCTTTTAGTTCCTGTGGTTCAATCAGCTGTAGCTGGTGGGGCTCGGACTCGTATGGCACTCACATCAAGTTCTCCCTCCATATCAGGAGGTTATTTATGGAGAGGTTTCTAGGGAAGGTCGATGGAGCAGGAATCCCAACACATGTCTATTACATTTTCCTCTATAAAGTTTCACATAATTCTATTGACTTTGTTTCTAGGGCGATTCCCATCTTTATAAGTATACCTATTCTTCTGATAGTTCATTAAAAAAACACCCAAATTTGCTCCTTCCTTTAAAATAAGAAACGTAGTTTCATGGTTTTCTGATCGTAGAATGCAGTTAAAAAAAAAATCACTAGCCATCAATTGAGTGCTTTAGGTCCCAGACCTGATCCTATCATTGATTTCTGGACAGATCATTTATTTCCCCTTGAAATTCAGGAGAAAGGGTGTGTGTTAAAATCTAAAAAGTAGAAGGAATTTTATGGGATTATTTCATCTAGCTCTGCATTTTTCTGTAAAAGACAATGACGTAAAGCCTTAGGTCACAGAGCTGATTAAAGAGGTAGAGCCAGTGGAATATTTCTCCTAAACAAACATTTATGGTCTTTTTATTACATCATCTCAGTAGAGCCTGTAGAGGCTTATGCTGAGAAACAGAGATAATACTTTTGATTGATAATGCAGCATAAAGTAGTGTCTAAATGTAAAAATGTTATTTTAAGATGAGAACATGGAAAGAAACCAGAACACAGGAATCTTCCCAATGTGTCAACAGACAGGAAACAAAGTATAAATGCCCTAATTCTTGTTCCCTAAAAACTTACATCTAAACAAAAGATCTTGAAAATTAATCTTCCACAAAACTATATCAGAAAATAGAGATTAGGACATTCCTGCTGCCAGACAGTATAAGGATATAGTTGGATGTTGTCTCTGATCATAGATGGCTTGGCTTCAAAGGTGGGCTCTATTAATATAAAGTTGTATAATTTAGGTTTTTTTTAAATCACTTATTAAACTGCTCTGGATTAAGCTACTCAACATTATGTGAACAAAAGGTCGCTGCCACCAATTTAATGCCAACAGGTGTCCAATCTAGGGTGCAGAAAAAAAAGAAACTATTCAAAAGTTCTCTTTCCAAACTGGGCAAGCAGCCTCAGGAGGAAACCAAAAGTGCATTCCATGGAGACAAAGGTAAGTCTACTCTTTATATAGAAAGTCCCACCCTAGTCCCTGATTGGTCCATTTTTAAGCAAATGAGGATTCCAAGTTTGCAACAGTCTGATTGGTCAAAATAACACTGTCCTTTGGTTGGTCAGGATAGCACATTCTGAATGTTCTTTTAGGAGCTGCTCTGATTGGTCAGTAAAGATGCAAATGAGGGTATAACTATCATTGATTGGATGGGGCATCTGTCAGCCCATTGGTTGATACAGATACAGGGATCCCTTTATATTAAGGTTGGACTCAGCCTGCAGGAATACAGTGCAGGAAGAAGGCTGTCCCTGAAATGCATAGTGTGTGAGAGGTCTCTGTCAGCAACTGCTAGAGATTTCGGGCCAAATTAACTGTAAGAAAAACCTCCCCTGAAAATCCGATGGACTAGATTAGAGCTATCAGTGGGTTTAGCAAGGAATTATAGATGGAAAGGAATGATTTTAGTGGTTGCTCCATCTTTAACTTTATTCTTTTCATTCTTAGGAACTCTTAAGGTGGGTATTGTTCTTTGCATTTCACAGACTAGAAAACACACTAGAGACGGTAATTGCTTGGCAAGAACTAGAAGTTGATTCAGTAGTGCTTCCCGGTACAAACTTAATCTGAGTCCACAACGCAGTAAATGAAGGTCTTTCCCAAGTGGAGGCTTCCGAGCCCTGCAAAGTCCTCACTTTCCCCGGGGCCCGGAGGGAGAGGTGTGTGGGTGGCGCAGGGGGCGAGGACCCACGTGCCTCTTCAGGCCCAGGAGCTAAAGCGTGGCTCAGGGGGCTTTTCCCAGGACGCGCAGGTCTCCCTAAGTCAGGTCGGGTTTCACGCGGCCCGAGCACCGGGCTGGAGGCTTCCCCGTCGGGGAGGCGGGCGCGGCCTCCGTGGAGCCCCGCTCCGGGTGAGCCAGGGGAGCTGACTCCCTTGGAAGTCTGGGTTTCAGTCCTTAATTTAGAAACTCCACTTCTGAGTGAACGGAAGGCCCAGGGAGGGGACCAAGAAGAAGTACGGAGGGACGCGGGGCCGACTCACGGCCCCGGCCTCGGGAGCCCGTGCATTTCGGCCCGCGGCGCGACGCCCGCCCCCCGATTCGAGAGGAGGCGTGGCCCGCAGGAGCCGCCATCTTGGGCGCCGCTCTAGGCGCGGTGTTTACCTCTCGATGGTCTCCCGCTCCCGCCCCGCCCTCCCGAGTCATTGTCTGGAGGAGCAGCCGCGGCCGCGGCGCCTTCTCTTTATAAGCCCGCAGTGCCCGGATGTGAATGGATTACAATGTATCTTTCAGGGGAACCTATTATCATCAATGTGACTCCACGGGGGAGTCCATGGTGATGGTGATGAGGAGGAGGAGGAGGATGATGAGACACTTCTAAACTTGGAACAAGTTTAAGACTTGATGAGAGGAGAAGAGAAAAAACCCCACCACCACCAAGATTGGTTTGAGGAAAAATGATAACTATCCTGTATTGATTTTTTTGTAAACAATAAGAAAAAGTTGTTGGATTTTTTTTTTAATGATTTCTTTTTTGGGGGAGGGGATTTTGTTGCAGTTTTATGGTGGAAAATGCAAAAACCACAGCCAGGTGCATAGTCTTGTATTCTGTGGATATCCCTGGAGCAGGACTGAGTGCCAGTTAAAGTACTTTTTTGGGGGACACACATGTGAGATACTAAGTACTTGCAGAAGATTTTTGTTTCTCTTTTTAAAGTCACTTTCCTTGGAATATTGTGAGCATATTTGTGGCCATTTAAGGTAACGTTACAATTTGCTGTCAGAGTAAACTGTTGTTGAATTTAATTTTTAAAATATCGATCCCAATGTTTTATTAAAACAAAAGGAACCTATTAAATAATTGCCAATGGGAAAAAAAAATGTGTGCATGTTGTGTATGTATTCCCACATATAGCAATAAAGGGTTTTGCAGAATGTGTATTTTAACACGTTACAATTGCGTATGTTGCATATACTGGATAAAGCACGCTTGCAATTCTGAACCGATAGAATTATGAAGCTTAATTTCTATCCTAAAGAAGTGATGTAAAAAAAGTATGTTTTAAGAGCATGCAGGGCCTGTAATGGTAAATGCTGAAATTAAAAACTTACAGTGCTGGCGAACGGGGACCTAGCGTGCCTAGGAACTCAAGTGTAAAAACAAAACAACATCCCCCTTCAAAAATTGACTTTTTTTTTTTTTTTTTCCTTTTTGGCAAAGTTTGCAGCTATACTATTTTGTGACTTAAAAGGGAGGGGAAAGAAAGTATGCAATTAAGGCTTCGCCCCCAACGCAAAACTACTGAAATGAGAATCTCCCCAGCAAACGGTGGCTCGGTTTATAGATGGAAAAGAAAAATATCGTTCCTCTTGGCCAAGTCTTTTTGCATCACGTGTATTTGCAGCCTAGTGTAAACTTGCCTTGCCGTGTGTAGACGTGTGAGTGAGAGGGGACGGGAGTCGGGAAAGAAAGAAGTGCGGAGACGTAAACTCGAATACATTTCAAAGTGCCTCCGAGGGCAGAAGCGGGCAAAACCCGTACTGTTCAGCCTTCAGATTGTAATTGACGATCTGAGGGGCGATGAGGTGCTCGATGGATTTTCGTTTGTGTTTTTTCGCGAGGCGGGGGAGGTGTTGAGATTTTTTTCTTTTTTCCAGCGGGGGGTGGGGGGGGTGCATCCCAACCAGCCCGATCCGCGGGAGCCGCGTCTCCCCGGAGCCCCCCCACCCATTTCTTTGCTGAACTTGCAATTCCGTGCGCCTCGGCGTGTTCCCCCTCCCCCCTTCCCTCGTCCCCTCCCCTCCCCGGAGAAGAGAGTTGGTGTTAAGAGTCAGGGATCTTGGCTGTGTGTCTGCGGATCGGTAGTGGCGGCGGCGGCGGCGGCGGCGGCGGGGCAGGAGCAGGAGCGGCGGGGAAGGAGGCGGTGGCGGCGGCGGCCGTGGTTAGACATGAACGCCGCCTCGGCGCCGGCGCTGCACCGGGAGCCCCTTCTCGCGCGCGGGCGGTAGGTACCGGCGCCGGGGGGCTCGGCGGGGCTGCTGCGCCGGGAAGGCGCGGGGCTCGGGCTGGGCGGCCCCGCACGCGGCTCCGCGCCTCCGGTGCCGCGGGCTCCTGGCTCCCGGCGCTCCCAGCAGAGACACCCCTTCCCCTCCCGCGCCTCTTCCCTCCCCCTCGCCGCGGCCCCCCTCCCCGCCGCCCCTCCCCAGCCCTGCCGTTCGGAGGGACGGAGGACTTTGCCAAGGGCCTGACTTTAATTTTTTACCACCCTTTCTTTCACAAATTAGGGTGCTGGACAATTACAGGACCCGACCCTCCACTCTGCTCGCCACCCCCCCCTTCCTCCGACCCTGTCACCCCTCCCCCTTTGGACGTGTTTTCACTCCAGAGACGCTCATCTTTAATTTCTTTATAGCTACTTTGAAATGCGGGGGGGAGTGGTGTGTGTGAGTGTGTGCGTGCGTGTGTGTGAGTGTGTGCGAGGGGGTGGGATGGAGGGTGGGGGGAAAGTTGAGACCGGATCGCTCTCAGTAGTTTCTCTTTTCTCTATGATCCATTCATTTCTCGCTCTACCTCCTGTTGCATAAAATGATGCGCTGAAGAGCGGCTCTTTTTTTTTTTTTTTACTTCCCGGATTTGGTTTTATAGTGGATGTTACCAGTTTTGATCGTCTCTTTGGAGATACAGTATCAATATCGCTTTTTTTTTTTTTTTTTTTTTTTTTTTTGCTATTGCTGCCTATTCCATCTTTAAAAAACAAAACAAAACAACTCTCCCATCCCTCCCTCCTTTCCACCTTAATCCTACCCGCCCCCACATCCTCACCCCCAATCCCCCCAGTCTCCAAAAATCCGATTGTGTTTTCTCCCAAGGATTGGGACTGGATTTTCTGATTGCGGTTATTTCCATGTTTCTAGGTTTGTGTGATTTTGCTAAAATGCATCACCAACAGCGAATGGCTGCCTTAGGGACGGACAAAGAGCTGAGTGATTTACTGGATTTCAGTGCGGTAAGAAAGAACGGTGGAAACTAACAACAGCTGTGAAAACAAAACAAAACAAAACAAAAAACCCAAACACTGAGCTAGAAACCAATAGTCATCTAAAGGACAGAAATAATTTTTAATTGGCTGAATCCTCAGTAAAATGAAGGTGTTTTTGATAAGTTTCAACTACAATTTTTGGGTGTGATGAAGGATTCAGGCTTTTTTTTTCCCCCAGAGTCTAATAACTTGCCTTGAATTCCATACCCACAAATCCCCCAGAATAATTGAATCTCACCCCAATGGAAAGGAAAAACAGAAACCCCTAAAATGGCACGTCACCCCTAAAACTTGGCCTTCTCTGAACCCTGGAAGTACTAATACTTGGAGCACTACTCATTTTATTTATTTACTTATTTTTCCTGGAAATGGAAAAGAGAAAATAGGAGACCCCGTTGTCTCTTAAAGTTTTAAACTGATGATGCTTTGGATTAGTAGGACCTATAGTTACCTAGTTACTTTTTCCCCCCTGGGATTCTGAATACTCATGTATATATTGAGCGTACATTCTTTAGAACCCTTTATACTGTTTTTATACATGTCATAGTTATGAGATCAGTACAAAGAAGAACTTACACACTTGTGGAGTTTTATAGCTGTACTTGGTCCTTCTCCATCCCTTTGCTTCCCTTTCCCAAACCAAGTCTCACTCATGTCAGGGGAATTGATTTTCAGTGGCAGATGAGTTTGGTGTAAGATGCATTTGCAAAGCAAAATGAAAAGAATCCACAAAACACATAAATAAAATCCAAACCACCTTCTAAGTGGGGCTCTTTCATGTTGCTGCTGCTACTGCTGCCGCTGCTGCCCCTGCTCCTGCTGCTGCTGCTGCTGCTGCTGTGCTGCTGCTCTTCTAGACCTTCTTTTGGAGGAATGGCTTTCGGAAGTTTTGCCAGGAAACATAGCCCTAGCAGCTTCGTAGCCCCCTTTCTGCTTGCTGCACTTTCTCCATTCGTTCCTTTGCTTTTTGCAGGCTCTGACCCAGGGAAGGTGCGCATTGTCCACTAGATACGTGGAAGAAGAGGGAAACCAATTAGGGTCGAAATAAATGCTGGAGAGAAGAGGGAGTGAAAGAGAGAGAGTGAGAGTGAGTGAGTGTGAGTGTGTGTGTGTGTGTGTGTGTGTGTGTGAGAGAGAGAGAGAGAGAGAGAGAGAGAGAGAGAGAGAGAGAGAGAGAGAGAGAGAGAGTGTCTTGCTTCAAATTGCTCTCATGTTAGAGATGAAATGAGAATTTAGTGCAGGTGGCACTTTTATTTTTATTTGGGTTCACATATAACAAGCAAATCCTATACGGGCTGGAAATGGACATTGCCACGTTTATGGCCAAGGTTTTCATATAAAACAAACAACTTTTTTCTTCTCCTTTGTAAAACTAGTGTTTTCTAGAGAGGCTGCTGCCCTCAAACTGAATCTTGATAACATTATGGGGACTGTGTTTGTTTAAAACGTGGTAGTACTGCCTAGTACTGGCGATCTAGTGAACCTGAGGAAAAAGGAAGGAGTGGTAATGGGGGCGGAGGGGGTGATTGCCAATGTTGTGCCTGCTTTAGTTCTAAGTTGGATGGTGATGTGTTTTACTAAGATGAGCCCTTAGCATAAACTCTAAGTTATATAGTGAGAGTATGAGAGATCTTTGATGAACTCTGAAGGAGCAAATGTCTTCTTTTCCACAGTAATATTTCTTTGTTTCTTTTAGATGTTTTCACCTCCTGTGAGCAGTGGGAAAAATGGACCAACTTCTTTGGCGAGTGGACATTTTACTGGCTCAAGTATGTAAATTCTTGTCTTAGTGTGTAGTTAAATATTCTTTGCTGTTTATTCACTCATTGTATATTTTTGGCTCTGTTGAAGTGTTCTGAAAAAGTCATTGAAATTTTAGCCTGTAATGATATGGTTATTTCATTATCCATCAGTGGTATAACTTACACAAAATGTCATCTTTTGCAAAATTAAAATTAGGCCTTTTTTTTTTAATCAAGGAAACTGTCTCAGAATTCCATTACTTAATTTAAAAGCAATTTTCTAATACAGTTATAATCAAACATGTGAAGATAAGGCCAATGTTAAAATGAGGGAAATAAATTAATGTTCCCTATTTGGAAATAGAGGGGGAAAATCTAACTTTCATAAAAAGGGAAAGTCCCTTGTAAATAATATCAATTTTATTAGGTTCTATGTATAATTAACCCTTTTAAAGAAATGAGTCTGTAATTTTGCAGCTGAATGCTGTGTAGTAAACCATAACTGTAAATAGAAAGCCTCTTGCTAAGCTGAGCTAAATATTAATTCATTTATATTTAAAATATCCTTTCTGATGCTTTAGCTGTTTCTTTCCCCTATGTATCATGTGTGCAATCAATTTTTGCTATATTTAAAGTTGCCAATTGGGAAGAACCTCACATTTTCTAAACTGAAAGGTCTTTGGGTGATGCTTAAAAAAGACGTTAGCGCTATTCACAAAGGAAACTGGGTGCGCATTGATTATCTGGCATCTAAGGAGGAGTTTTAATAGGGGACTCTCTGAAGGTCTCTTATTAAAAGTGCAAACTGAAAATATATTTAGTTAAAATGTATTTGTTATTTTGTCCACTGACTCTCATATCAAAAGGAGGCATACATTGTTGCCTGCTATTCTTTAGGTTCAACGCTTCAATCCATTTCTGCTGGTGAAACAGCTGCAGTGTTTTCGTTCTGGCAGTGGGACATAACAGTACATTAGACAGAGTGCTATTCTTAAGTCAGGCTGGTAAATGTTGACATTTTTTAGCTCTGAGATGCTAGTGGAATTGTCTGTTAACTATTGAATATAATTTCACATCGCTTAAATTTCATAGCAATGAGAAATCTGTTCACCTTTGTGATTTGTGTAATTGGTATATTTTTATAAAATGAATGGCTTCTACAAGTTGCTCATTTCCAAGTAAGCTACTTCTCCTTCTTCTGGCACTCATAAGTCTAAGGGAATTTTAGACTCTGTAACTTGATTTATAAAATATGAGAGGCCTCCTATAGTTATATTTTATCTTTTGTTTTTTTGGGTCCACTTTGATTAAAGTACTATTCTCCATAGGCTTGTGTTTTACTGCTCTGACCCTGTGAGAGCTGATTGCCTAGTACTGGCAATCTAATGAACCTAAGGGAAAAGAAAGGAGTGTTAATGGGACTTAATTTTTTTGTTTTAGTCTTATATCTTGGAGATCTCTGTATTCCTTATACAACTTTGAAGTAAAGGTGAACACAAGTGTCTCTTCTAGACAAATTAATTTTTCATGTTAGACATTCCAAACAGTAGCTAACTTTATCTCTGACAATACTTTTCTTGATCATATTACTTAAGAAAATGTGTATTTACTTTAAATCTAGAAGTAGATTATGTCAGAAAAGTACAGAGATAGGCTGCTTTCAAAGTCAGTGCAAAATACTCTTTTGCACTTTGTGAAAATTGACACATTTGGGGTTTCTTAAGTTATGTCAGTTTAGGTATGGCATCATAAAGTGAGGTGAATCAGAAGCATGAAATTTCTGAGTTCACATATAGATAGAGTCCTTGCTATGATGTTTATTTTAAGTGTTTATAGGGAGTATAGGCTGGAAAAATATGAATATGTATTAATACATTTTGGTAAGTGATCATATATTTAAACTTACACAGTTCTTAAGACAACTCTGTGTGTGTGTGTGTGTGTGTGTGTGTGTGTGTGTGTGTACACATATACATACAAGCATACATGAACTGAGACAGACTTCATCCTTAGTGTGATGTTATGGTATTTCTGATGAAGATGCTGTGATTATTTCAAGGTGTTGAACTTTAAGTTACATTGTACCACAGGTGTAGTTTTCTGGCCCAAATGTTGACTTGTAAAGGTAAAAATGTGTGGCTCTTTTGTTTGGGGTACTGGATTGAAAATGCAAGGTATTCATCCAGTGCAGTACGATGGTGACTATAATATATGGGGTACAGATTGGAGTGTTGGTTTTTCTCATCTATTCAAGGCATATTTGAACACAGGGCTATTAGTGAAGTAAATGGCTTATATTTCCACTCAATAAGATAAATTATTTATCCACAAAGATAAAGTCTTTTTAAAGCATAACGAATTTAAAAAATCAGGAAAACTGGCCTTTAACTGGAAGGATGAATGAGGTAACTTTGGACAGAGGAATAATTTTCTAAATTTATTTCAGGTTCATTTCCATTGTCCTGAGTGATCTCAGATGTCACTTTCATGGGTAGCTTTGCAACTTGGGTCCAGGAAAAAAACGATCCAAGCTATAAGCAAACTGTTCATATTTGAAAAACCAGCTATAGCTTTTCAGTGAGTCTTGGTCATATTTCATGCTTAAAGTTCCCAGTCGCTTTTGATTTCATTAATGTAGGATGCTCCATCGTGATTTGCAATGTGAGAATGAAAATAAAGTGTGGCCATATTCCCTTTAATCTTTCATTTCACAAACATGGTTTTCCTACCACCTTAAGAAATGGGGAGGCTGCTAGGGAGAATGGAATGTAACCTGAGCTACAGCCTGACATTCCCAGGGAGCATTTTTCACATGAAAGGCTTTTGTCAACCCAGGAAAGGACCAGCAGTTTTTGTTTGATGTTTGCAGGTGTTCAGCAGAGAGCACTAAAACAATTCAGCCATGATAGTTCAGAGCTACGATGACCTTAACTGGGAGATTGGTGGTCTCTGGAATTATTTTTAAGAAATAGTTGTAACCCATATGGTAACTTATACAAAGAGATTTAATATCCGTTATATCATTGATCTTAAAACAAACTAAAAGTATCCACATGCCTGGATAATTGGAAAATTATTCTCATTAAAACGTAGGATGGCAAAGTTACCAAAAGAAAAAAAAAAATGCTCCTAGAGTCTATAATTTATTGGTTAACAAGGGCTTAATTTTCTGATATAACAAAGATACTGTTTATTTGGTTACTTTGAGTCCTGTCTAAGCAAAAGATAAACATGCTAGCTTTAGGATCTTTTTAAAAAGTAGTTTTAAAGTTGGGCCATTAGGATTATCTATATTCCAGAACAACCCTAGTCACATCTGTTACATGTATTTACAGTTAGTCTGTGATGGATACTACATCTTCCTCCCTCAGTTTAAAAGTTGAGCTTTTTCTCCTGTAACTGTTTAGCTTTGCTTAGGTGTTCAGCATTTGTTAAAGATTGCCAAATCAATGGGTGTTTGGACAATTAAGAGCAGTAGTAAAATACACCACATCTCTGGCATGGCATTTTTTAAAGAGGAAAAACATTTCTTGATATTCATACAAGTTAGTTAGCCTTTATCCACATGACACCAAAACAAACCATCAATTTAGTGAATTCAGGGAGAAAAAAACGAATCCAGGGGGTAGTACTGTACCACAGAGAAAATTCAATGGTCAGCATCCTGAATTGATTTCCACTAGTTTGAATTCAAGGTTATGGCATGAAGAAAAACTGGCCTCCCCTTAAAAGTGTTTGTTGAGTAGAGTTAAGTGTGTGTGTGTGTGTGTGTGTGTGTGTGTGTTTTAAAACAACCTTACTATTACAGTGCAAGTCATAATGGTTGCATGTTTTTTTTTTTTTTATAAAGAGCAGAATAATACTAGGTTAATAAGTAAAGTGGTATTAAACCTATTATGTTAGAATCATGGGATATAGGAGATACAAACTGCTTAGCTTTATACAACCAAAGAAAACTGAGGCTCAAGTTAAGGAATTTCTGTGCCTTTATTTGCTGTTCTAAAAGAACACATTTTGATTTGCTAATTCTCTATGGCTCTGCAAATCCTTTATTGGAATAACATTGGTTTCACTACTGTGTTTTGCTGTAATTTGTATTGCATAATAGAGTATTAGAATTTATGTGTTGATATTTGTGCATACAAATGCTTCAGCATGTGCATGAGTCCTTTGAATACTTTCTAAGGTTTGGAACTGAATTTTGGATATTGATCATTCTCTTTAGCCCAAACTCCCCTGGGACTATTTGCAAGATGTTACATTGAAAAGTAGGGTGTGGAGTGGTACAAAACTGACAAAATTAAAGTGCTTCTTAATACGCCAAGAGGTATGCTATGTGCCTTATATGTATTGTATTTTTAAAATTCTCACAAGAACTAAGTGAGATGCAAAGATTACAATGCTCATTTCATAGATGAGGAAACTGAGATTCAAAGACGTTAGACAACTTGTTCTCAAGGCAGCCTATAATGAATTAGGTTTAAAACCCAGGTTTGCCCAGCTCAATATCCTTTTCACACATGCATACACTGACAAAAAAAGTTAGATATAGCTTACTTTTTCAAGATTATATAGGGATAATAATGCATTATTGAGGCTTGGCCTCACCCGATGATATGTTTATTGATTTTTAGAGAGAGATGAAGGGTGAGAGAGAGAGAAGGAAAGAGAGACAGACAGACAGAGAGAGAGAAATCAATGTGAGAGAGAAACATCGAACGGCTGCCTCCCTGTGATCCCCTACCAGGGATCACACCTGCAACCTAGGTATATGCCCTGACCATGAATCGAATCCGTAACCTTTTGGTGTAGGGGATGATGTTCCGAACAACTGAGCCACCAGCCAGGCTAGAGTAGATAAGCATTTTAAAAAACATATTTAAGAAATGATATAAACTCAGGCCCATTACTTTTCCTGCATTAGTATCCAAATAAGAGCTAGCCTTCTAATTGATGTTGGCTTTCACTGTGTCTTTGTATGTCTCACTATTGTTGTTATTACTATTGTTATTATTACAAGGAAAATA